CTAAATTAGATCAGTAAATATATTAGCTATATTAGAAAATTCCGTTTTGCAAAAAATGTGGTTTCATTTAAGAAACAAAATGAAAAAGTACATTAATCAAAATATTGTTTATCGTTAACGATGACTTTTTCCCATCTTTCGGACAGCAAGCGAATTCCGCGGCGAAAAAATGTCTCATTTTTGGAGGCTATCCAGTCAAAGACATTTTTCGATGTCTTCATAAGAATTGAAGCGTTCCTCAGCAAGTGCGTATGCTATCGACCGAAACAAGTAGTAGTCAGAAGAAACACATTCGGTGAATAAGCCATATAGAGTAGCACTTCCCAGTGAAATGCTTGTAACGTTTCCTTAATAAGTTTTGTGACGTGCGTCATGAAGCAAAATCATTTTATGCTATCTCGTTTCATATTCTGATCGTTTTTCGTGCAATGCTCGGCTCAAATGGATAATTTGTTCTCGGTAGAGATCCTCTGACTGTTTGATCAGATTTCAACAGCTCATAGTACACTACATCCTTCTGATCCCACTAAATACAGAGCATTGTCATCTTTTCGTGGATATTCCGCTTTGGCGTCGATGTTGAGGATTGTCCGGGATCGCAAATGATTTTTCGACACTTGGAGTTGTCAAAATATATCCATTTTTTATCCTTAATGATGATACGATGCAAAAATCCCTTTCTTTGTTGCCTAGCAAGCAGAATTTCGCAGATAGTTTTTCGCCTTTCAATGTCTCTTGGCTTCAGTATATAGTTCATATAAGATTCATTTTCCTTCCTTGTAAATTTTTCCCAAGGCTTTCAAACAATGGGAAATGATAGATTGAGCACAATTTAATGCTTCTGCAAGTTATTTTTGCGTTTGACATGGGTTTTCATCAATGTCTGCAATCATGCAGCAATCTCTTCTTCGTTTTCGACGGCTTTTGGCCGTCCAGAATGCTCTTTGTCCTCCACATCAAAATCACTTTTAAAGCATCGATGAAACATACAGGGAAACCATTCTCTATATGTTTTATCGGAAGGAATACTATCGCCATAAATTTCTACAAGCATTTGATAAACTTCAGTTGCAGTTTTCTTCCATTTAAAGCAAAAGATTAACACTTCGTGCAAACATGTACCTTTATATATTGAATTTTATTGACAGATAGTAAAACTAAAAAATTAAGCTTGGTTTAGACGTTAGAGTTGCCGACGTTCTAGCTATAGCTCACTGCTAAATACACGGAACTTTCCGATTTACCTAATATGTAACATTGAATACAGAAATATAGTACAAAAGAGATTAGATATGGATAGAAATCAAAACAAAAATAAATAAATATCAATAAATTTTTCATTTTCGAGAGAATTTTTAATAAAATCAGTAAAAAAATTTTTAATGATTATAAAATATAATTCATCATCATCTCCGCTCCACAGCCTTGATAGGCCTTGGCTTTCTCTAAAAGTTCCTTCCAGCACTTCTTATCGAACTCGATCCTCTTCCACGCTCTCATATCCATCGTTTTTCAGTCTTCTTCTAATGGATCCAGGAAGCATTTTTTGGCTATCATGCTGCCTTCGTCTTATCAACGGTCCTTCAACATCAATTTTCTTGCTGAGTCTTCCCAAATAAGAAGGGATGGTGTGCGTCACGGGGCCCGACCACGAATCAGTCGTGAAAACTGGTAATTATTTTGCGAAAAAATACT